ACTTGGCCACTTTAAGAGGAGTGGACTTCAACCCCCAGAATTCCCCAGCCAGCGATGCTGGCTGGAGAATTCTGGGAGTTGAAGTCCACTCATCTTAAAGTGGCCAAGTTTGGACAACACTGATCTAATGGTTTAAAAATCCTGCTAACATTTTAGCTATCTAGCAGCAGATTGATTGGTTGATTATGTGCCATCAAGTTGTTATTGACTCTTTATGCCCACATGGGTAAATTTTTTCCAGGAGAATCTGTCCCCAACCTGGTCCAATGGTTCACCCATCACTAATGTAATTGAGTCCAGCCACCTTGCTGCTGGTCATCCTCTTCTCTGTCCTTCCACATCTCCCAGCATTTTAAACTTCTCAAGAGAGCTAGGTCTTTGCATAATGTGTCCAAAGCATGATATTTTGAGCCTGGTCATTTATGCCTTGAGTGAGAACTCTGGGTTGATTTGTTCTGTGATCCATTTGCTTGTTTTCTTGGCTCTCCATTATATTCTCAGGCATCTTCAACTTCAGAGTTAAAAATTGTCAGTACTCTTTCTATCCTGCTTTTCCCAAGTCCACTTTTATTTTCATAGAGCATCATTGGAGAAGCCATTGCCTTCATGATTCTGATTTTTGTAGGTATAGACACATCTGAATATCTTCATTGCTACTCTACCAAGAGCTAGTCTGTGGCAAATTTCTTGACTGCTATCTCCTTTACTGTTGATGGCTGATCCTAAAATACAGAAACTATCCAAAATTTCAATATCTTCATTGTTAGTTCTAAGGCTGACTACTGGACATGTTGTCATGAGTCTGATCTTTCAGTTTAATCTTAGTTCCATTTTTTCACTGTGCTCTTTGACTCTCCTTACTAGAGCTTGCAGATCATTTTCATTTTCAGCTATCAGAGTAGTGTCATCAGCATAGTCTGGATTATTGATGTTTCTTCCTCTGGTTTTAAAACTACACTCATTTTCTTCCGGTCCAGCTTCCCTCTATATATTCCGCATATAGGTTGAAGTGAGCATAGGGCAGTTGGGTTATCCCACACTTTATGTACAGAAAACTCATACAAGGATTAGCATATATAAATCACTTATCAGTAAGTGAAATCAAATATGTTGATGTCATTGAAGAGCAATTAGTTTCTCAGAATAATATTTACAGTATCACCCCATTAACTTACTACTCTCTACTTAACATCAGCATAAAGTCCTCCCTTTGTACCAAATTCAAACATCCTATTGACTGTTAATTATTTGGGCAGCTCTGAGTCTTAGTTTGTACAAAATAGACAATACTAATGTTTGGCACATAGGTAATAATGAATGTAATTGAGTTCGGCCAATTTCCCAAGGTCTTTATAGATATCATTATGACCTAAAGCTTTATCATGAATTCAAAAATTATCGTTGCTACTTAGTGTTAATTTTCTCTTTGATTAGGCAAAATGTGTCATAAATTCTGTTAGCTAACAATGGGAACAAATTGAAAGGTAAATAACTTGTGCTCATTTTGAGTGAGTACTGATATCTATATCATACTGAGCTATTAAGCCTTATGTAGTGCTTTCTTAGCCTTCTCTGCTGCACAGCACTTAAATTCAAGTGTGACATAACCCAATCAGTCTAATGATACTTTCCCTTCCCTTCCTGCCATCCAGCATGTGTAACCACCAGCTTTGTCTTTTCCTCACTGTTTCATAACCTAGAATGTCTAGAACATCTGTGCCCAGAATTCATATGTTCTGAGGACATGCCTGGATCAAACAGATACAGTATATTCTAGCTAGGTCTGACTGGAACACATATGTTTTTGTCTAGGTGGAGCACATATGTTTTGGTCCAGACATGGAATGCTCAGAACTGCTGTTCTATGCATGGAGCAGTCTATACTCAAAACGTTTTGCACATCATTAAACAAACAACAAATTAAACCCTTGTGACTACCTGCTTATATAAATTAATATTAATTTTTTTAAGAATAGGAAAGAACTGTCCTAGTTGCCCAAACCTTCAATCCTTCAATCTTCCTTACTTCTTATGAAGGTTGAAAACTGAAAAGTCATTAAAATAAACGAATGGCTGCTTGTCTCAGTCTCTCATTACAGTTCTATTGTAAAACAACTTTTATTAGTTGTACTGTATGTGATTGGAAAATGCTTCAAATTCTTATGCTGTAGCATATTTGCTTTGTTCATGTTAAATGTTTATTTGTCATTTCCAGAGAGAATGTGCATCAGATGGGCTGTTGATCCAATGAAGTAATATTAGTATAATAATTATGCATATTTATTATTTTTATCATTATTGCTATTGGTATTATTTACATCTGAGGTTGGTTTTGATTTTAGGACTGATCCTGCATGTAGAGTAGCAGTATGGACTACTAGGGAACTACAAGAACATTTACATCGAAAACACCCCTTAGCTTCGCAAGTATTTTTAATTTTGTTGTGATTAAACCAAATGGTTGGCCAGCTTTTTCATATGTTACAGAGAGAAGTTTATGACTTTGGTTTGTTCAAGGCAAGATGTTTTGATGGTATTGGCACAACATTTAAAATATTGGGTTTATATAGCTCATTTTCCAGAACATTTAAGACATAATGTTGTTTCACAAATTTCTAATACAGTGATCAATATGGAAATTATTTATTTATTTATTCCATTTATAATTATTCTTTCTATCCAGAAAGTGCTGAAGATAGCTAAGAATAAAAACCTCTTTAAAATTAAAAATCATAGGCCTAGCTAAAGAGGAAAGTCTTGAACCTTTCTCAAAACAGAAGTTGGATTTAGTGGTATCTCCCAAGGAATTGCATTCCATAGCATTGGAGGAACAACCTAAAATGAAAGCATTTTTAAAAAGGTTTCCCCAGGTATTAGTATCCAGACATGGTCCCTCAGTCAAGTCCTAAGATATTTAGTCAAGAACGACACTTTATATTGTGGCCAGAATAAAATGGAAAACAGTACAGGACTTTCAACACAGAAATAATATGTTCATAGTACTGAAAACTAGTTAACAGCGTACTGCATCCTTAGTGTTTATCAGCATCAGAACATTACATATACCTTCTTGTTGGTGGTATGTAAACTACAGTATGTTGGCTTGCAAGATAATCTCTATGTCTGAAGGAAGGTTGTTTAATGTAGCAGAAGAAAGTGAATGAATACATGCAGGGAAGTGAAGATGTAGGTTTAATTCAAATGTATGTCACAATGTATGAAAAGGTGTTTTTAGGTTGTTAAGGGTATGCATGAAAGCTTAGAATTGTGATTATTGTATTTTATGCTGCAGTGATTGGTGATAATGGAAAAACCAGGTAGTTTCTGGATCAGAAGGAAGGTGGTCTGATCTTGTGATAGTCCCCATCTAATGGCTTTCCAGAGAATAGAAACTGGGCTTTTTCAGAAAGCCTTTGATGATCACACAACTGGAGAAAGGTCTGAAGCATTAGAAAGGATGAAAAAAAAAATACCTTTGCAGTGTTGCTGGAGAAAATTGTTAAGACTACTTTAGACAGCACTGTGGGGCAGCCAGACCAATGTTCAAGGTACCATAATCACTCAACCTCATCTTCTGGACATGGCTTGAAAGGAAAGAATGAAACCACTGATACTGGTAATGCCAACCCAGCAGACAATCAAAAGCATAGCAGGTTTGATGGTATCAAAAGCCACTGAGAGATCCAAGAGAACTAATAGGACTACATTCTCCCTATCTCTTTCCCATCACAATGGCCAAAGCATTTTCAATCCTATAACCAAGCAGAAGTCTCTTTTGTTTCATAAAAATAAAAAACAGGAAATGAGAGCTTCCCAATTACCTTTTTGTAGTAGCTGTGAGGCTGCTTTCCATCAGACCAAATCATCTGATTATGTATTGCCAGTGCAGAGGGGTGAGTGCTTTCCTAAATGGGTTGGCTGGGTGGGTGGGTGGGTGGGTCAGTCATGTCATGCAAATAAAGCTATAATCTGAGAACTTAAGTAAATTATTGAAACATCTGATCAAAGCAGAAGCGGAAATTAGAACTCTGGCTTAGCGTGTGTATCTGTTATCTTTATAAGCAGTAAAGAAATTGGAATATGCCATAAGCCAAAAATGATATGAAGTACTAGGGATGGTTACATTT